ACAGCAGATGCCAGGTTTACGAGGACTTCTCCGGGCATTCTCCCGGGATGGTCATTGGCAAAGCGCGCTTTGCTTGTGGCATGGCCTGTTTTGAGTTTCGTGTTCAGGGGATTACGTAGGACTGAGGAACTCATGGCCAAAACCCTAAGCGTAACTGCTACAACCCGGAACCCCACGCCTCGGTAGAGTTCGGGTGTGAGCGCCGAAGCCACAGACCCTTCGAGCGCTGAACCCCGCAAGAAGGCCTATACATTCTTCCAAACCTGAACCTACAGAGCAGAAACGCTGTCCCAACTCTTGGAGCAGGCAGATGATAGGTGAAACGCCTCGTGCATTTCGCAACCGGAGAGTACATTCGAACAAGACCATAGCTGTACGTGAGATGTGTCTGTTGTGCAGAGTGGTGCCTGAGATCTGTTGGGGGAAGACCTTGGAAGCAGCCTTGAAGCAAGTGGCATTGCCAGGGTTACTGAGGTTTGAGCACGGATGAAGGTGTTGTAAGTATGCAATACTCTGCACAGGAAAAACCCAACTGCCACAGCAACAGTCATGGTACTATATAGTAAGAGAGCTGGTAGCATCGAAGTCGTTGAACTTCTTGCTTGGGCAAGATGAGGTTGTCGGATTCAACACGACGGCCACCGACCGCTGACGGCTGGAGCTGCGGCTGCGTTTCAGGTAAACTCAGGTAAACAGGAGTATCCACAAGTGAACATGAGCACATGCATACACACACATGCAGGTATATACCTTCAAAAAACACGAATACATTCCTACCTTCCTTCGCGCGGCGGGTGCATACACAGGAGTCGGTCCCTTTCTTCCTACGTGTGAGGAAGTTCTACAGCTCGGCGATGAGTGCTTGCGAGCTCCCCGACGTTGATAGTATAGTTATTTCCTGCAAGAAAGTGGCTGCTAAGATTGCCAGTGTCACGATTGAGATTGATCGCCATCATCATAATGATCATCAACAACACGGTTGTGAACTGTATCTGTTCGTATTTGCGAGAGGAGTGTCGTTCCAAAAAGTTTCAGCGGCGACTGAGGACTGCGAAGAATAAAGTTGAGAGGTGCAGTGGAGAACTGGTGAGTACGCTGTCATCCCTGGCCTCTAGGACTCGAGGAGAGCCCGATACTCCAAAACAATCAGCACCAAGCTCTCCAAATCCCTGCGGCCCATTGCCCGGAGGCTTCGCTCATCAAATCCATTTTGCTTCACCCAGGCTGTTTCTGCACAGCCCCAAAGCTTCGCGAACTCTAACCCTTCCTTGATTCTCCGAGGCCTACGACTGCCTGGTTTTGTGCACTTAGTCTTCTTGTTGGCAGCCGTGCCGCCGATGCCACCTCTATTGCAGGCGGCGCGGCAAAGGAATCGAAACCTGTGATTCGTGATTGTTTCATACAGAGCCCTGAAGTGCTGCACTGCCCCTGAACTTTGTGCTGTTCCTAGCCGGAAATTAAGGAAACTTCGGCTCTTTGTGGGTTGCAGGGCGCAACGCTTTCGAGGTTCCCTTGCTGCCCTAGCTCTCAAGTCCCATGGTGCCCACTGTCCTTTTCAAGTCCTGCCTTCTCATAGCCTTCAGGCGGTCCAGGCGCGAGGTCTCGATTGCTACTGCGATTTTATTTCAGGTTGTTGGTTCTCGTTTCTAATAACGGTCCTGGCTGAAGATCCCAACTGTACTTTGCAGGACACTATGGCGACTCAATATGAATCTTGCTAGTGGTGTGATTCTCATAATTTTCATCGCTGCTCTTTAAATTTCTTTTGCAGCCCAGGGATGTTAACAGTGCGCATGAAATCTTGAACAAGATGCAAGAAGTTCGCTGCACATGGACAGCTACAGAGAGATGGAAAATCATTGGTTAAGATGCGATCATCCGTAGTAAGCTATTTCATGGTCTAGAGATAATTCATCTTACTCCGGCTGTAGCGAGGAAGCCCTTTGACTTTGAATACCGTGGTTTGAGAAAGATTATGGGTATGACTCCGACGTATATCAACCGTGCAATTTCGAATCAAAGACTTCTTGTAACAGCATCTCATGCGGCATTCCCATACCCCGGTGATACTGTGGATGGAGGAAATCTTGCACCACTTTTAAGATATGTTAGTTAGCTTCACCCCGCGCCCCCTTCTTAACATTGCTATGAACACGGGGATTTACAAAATCGTTCCAATGACATAAATCTTGCACCGCCCCAAGAGGTCTGTCGTCAATGTTTTGAAGGGGGCGCGGGGTTGTTGCTTGGATGTGTATTCGAAACAAGATGTGTAGGTGGTGCAAGATTTCCTCCATCCACCGTACCAGGAAAGTTTTGACGTTCACTAGATATCACGAAGTGTGCCGGGCGAAACTTCTTGGCCATATCTTACGAAGTTCCGATGCAGATCCGTTGAGGCAAGTTTCGTTTCCACCTAGTTCCGCTAGCCGCATAGACTATGGAAAGAACAGAGTTGGCCGGCCAAGACAAAATTGGGTCGTGTTCAGCAAGAAGTATGTTTATGAAAACAAGCTACAGTGGACAAAAACTATACAGAATCTGCTGAGCAAGACCAGCGGGTATATACGGCAGCTTTGCGAAGGCAATTTTAGCACCAAGGTTTTTGTTATTTCTGTGCCCGTGCTGCGCCAACGCCCTGCTTTTGAGTGACTCGCAACACTGACAGCAGGGTAGGGCTGAGAAAAAAACGTAGTAGCGTTTTGGTAGAGATCCTGCAGCTATCAGGGGGTGGCAATGATTGGTGCATGATGCTGTCAAAAGAGGTAGACTGCTTTACGGACTCGAAACAGCACATCTGAGAAAGTCTTTGATACAGAAGATTAATGCGTTTCATCACAAAGGCCTTCCCAAGATACTCAAACTGGCTTCCACATATACAGATCGTACGAATACCAATGCGAAGTATTCGAGAATGCCTCTGCAATCGCAAGTAGAGAAATCATCCCATTCAGCAAACTGCTAGAACCAAGGCGAGTCAAACTGGCTGTGCACGTACTAGGTTCCCGTTCGACAGACCCAATGAAGCAGATAAGCTATCAACCTGACAGGGCTAACCCTTGCTAATCGGAACCCGTATACTAGGCCGCCCCAGACAGCAATGGTTACATATCACCAAGGCTCCGAAAAAATACGGCTTCAACAGGTAATGACAACTTCATCGGGTCTGAAGCTCATACGGCTAGGACCAGGATTCTGCAGGCGGCAAGAGACAGAATCATTTGACCGAGCGTATCCCTGCTTGCTTGCTTTCTAGCCGACCGCCCAGGCGCTCATTAAAGATGCAGGGAGCTGCATTGAGCGCAGTGCTTTTGAAAAGTTAGTAGTGTTACGAAGACTGTAGTTGATGATTCTGCCACACACACCAAAGCAGCATTATCAGGAACTGTTTCGACTGTTTCAAGAAGAATTGAATGCAATAACGCTGAATGTGCTGAGGCTTCTCCGCCTGCGCGTCGGCCTTGGGATCGTCCCGACGTTGGGACTTCTCGTTTTTGTTGCTCGAGGCCCGGATTGAATTCGGCCTTCTGAAGCTTGACGGTGCGGCTGGGATTCCGGTGCAGTGTTTCAGAGGTCAAAGAGGCTTTGGGTCTGTCTTGAGCCGTTGGGCTAAGTGCTGTGTTCAACCAGGAGAGCTTCTTGATTTCCTCCAACGAACCTTCCAGGCTTGAATTTTCTCGGGTACCATCAAGTCGTGCCGCATCAGAAACATGTTGAGGTCAATTTCTGCAGGGACTCGCTTGTAGAATCACGTCATGAAAACCCTTCCTCAGAAAAAAAACTGGTATCAGCAGCAGGAGGGCCGTGCCTGGCCTGCTCGTCCAACATGTGAGCATTGATTCCAACATCTGTCAGAGTCAACCCTACAAACCCATTTGTCCCAGTTGTGCCCCGATACCCCAAGCGCCCAAAGCTGGAACCCGTCTCCCGACATGGGCGCGCCGTCTCAGGTGCAGGGGGCATGTCGTGCTAATCCTGACTTGATCAGCCACTTGCCTTCTTGGGTTTCACGGCCTGCCGATGTTTACCCAAGGCTTCAAACATCTTTAAGCCTTCAATCCTGAATGCCATGAGGGCATTGGAACTGTCCTGTGGACAGCAGGATCCTGTTCCTCGCTGAATAATTGCCTAAGTTTGTTCCAGAACTGCTGGTGCAAGGTAAAACGTGCTGGTGAGGACCACGAGCCTCAAAGCCTGATAGCCCGAGATTTCCGATTTCTCGGCGAGCCCAATCCCTGCTTGCCCTCGGTAGATAGCACCATTCTGCTTGGAAAAGGCTTTGAGCGAGAGACACATGACAAAGCTCCACCCTTCCACCCCTCCCCCTCCCCCTCCAACCCTCCCCCCCTCTACCAAGATAGTATAATAAAACCTGTTTAGGCATTTTCAAATCCGAATATTTAAAAACAGTCACGGTATCCTGCAACATGCTCAGTCCGTTAGCCATTTCCAAATCGTCTTCTGTGCACAGCCTTCGCGACCGTACCTGAGAATCCTGAACCCTATACCGAACTCTTCGCCAGCTGCACTAAAGCACGAACTACCGACAGAAAAAAATCTACTAAAGGAAGATCACTGGAAGATCAGCACACATGTTTGAGGAGAAGCGACGTTGAAATGCAATGCATACAAGGCTACAATACTGCCATCGCCGCCTGTGAGAAAGCCGGCCGCTGGGAGCAGGCGCTGGTCGTGCTCCAACTGGTAAGGAGGTGCAAGAGGAATTACTGAATGCACCTGAAAGCCATCAGATAGGGCTCCGGAATACTCTGTGCTTTGTTGATGAATGCACCAAAAACCGTGGAGACTTTTTGCCGCAGCCTCCAGGCACTTCTGCTTTTGGAGCAGCTGCCTCTCGCCGCCCGGTTGCTTTTTGTTGTTTTCGTTTGATCTGTAGCCGGTGACTTTTGTGGGTCTTTTAGTCAGGAATGTCGCGTCGCGGGCAGGTCCGCACATCTCGACACCTCAGGCAGATCTTCGTGCTGATGCCGTGAGCTTCAATGCTTGTATCTCGGTGCCGAAACCGCACCCAAGCTGTAAAGCTCAAGGGTTTGGCGGCCAGGGGGGGTGGGCATCAAGAACAATTCAAAGAGGGATCAACAAATATCAAAGCTGTGACATGCTGCAAATTACAAAGTTTGGGGGCTCCTGGTTCTCTGAGCTGGAGACCTCAATGTTCGGCTAGCGGCTGGAGTGGCTCTCTTGCTACTTTGTTTAACGTTACTGGTATTGTTACCCGTATTATCATATTCACCACGGCTGGTCTGGTACGTACAGCAACAATGGCAAATGTTCATCAGTACTACGACTAGTGCGGTTACTGTTGGTATGACCATTGCGAAGCTGATGATGGTGGTGATGGTGATGATGATGATGATGTTCATGATGGTCGTGATGGTGATGATGATGATGATGACAGTTATGATGACGACGATGCATGGCTACTTTATGATTAGCGCTATTGCTACTATTATTCCGATGGTCGTTCTTGTATCATTTAGTGTTTGAAGCACGATTTTTGCTATTTGCTGCTGTCGCTGCCACTATTACCAACCTCCCTGCCTTGGCACTGTGTCTCTCTCCCCCCAAGACCCCGCACCACGAAAACAAGATCCCCCGAGCGTCAACGGCCCACAAAGTGCTGTGCTGGTTGAACAGCAGAAGAACTTGTGCGGGTTTGGTTTTTTCTTGATCCCTGTTTGCGTTTTTGTTTCATCCCAAAGTTTGCAATCTTAACTATACCGGCTCCGGGAGACATGATGTTTTGATGTTTTCTTGATCCCTGTTTTGGTTTGTTTCTGATCCCAGGCATTTGATTTTTTTTGATCAGTCAGCCGGGCAAGGGGCTTGGGGATTCGGAGTTTAGGGGGTCCGGGATTTGGGGCTTCGTGTTGGGGAGTAAGTAGCAGGTTGCAATGCAATGGGGTTGGTCAAAAGGTGTTTTTTTTTGGGAGGGTCTGGTGCAATGCTGGTTTCGGAAACTAAGCATCCGCAGATGCACTTAAGTTTATCTAGAAAAGACCCTTTCAACAAATTGGCAGTCGAGACAGTCCATCGTTAGACAGGGTGGTGTAGCAGCTGTCAGTGACCTTGAGTTGCGAGTTGTGCGTAGGGTCCTTTTGCCGTCATCTGGTCGCACTTGACTCGCTGGGTCTGCACGATGGTTTGCCGAACAGGAGTCTCCTGGCCAGAATTTCGTTTCCTGCCGTCTCGGTTGTTGCCTACACAACCCACCGCCCGATGTCCAAACCCCCAAGCCCTGGTGCACTTCTCAGGCTTGCGAAGCCTGCGCACGATGGGCAGCTGGGCACTTGAGTGGCAGACTGTGTCCGTTGTGCTGGGGGCCCGGGTGGTGTACACTCGTCTAATTAAACAGGTTCTTTGAAGCGTCCAAATTTTCAACCCGGATGTCTGGAAGAAGTCTCTCCCTCTGCAGCTGAAACCTAGACACCGAGACCTAACTCTCAAGCGCTAGACAATCCTCCCCCGACTGCTGGTTAGCACTACTTGCAGGTGGTCCAAACAGCTGCTGCGTCCTCGTACAAGTGTACAAAGGGACAGAACAGAGGTGCTTGTCCTTCAGGGATCCTGGCAGCTGCCATCCTCCGAGCGAGATGTTGTATCTGATCTACAAAACAGATTATAGTCTGTAAAAGTTCACTTTAATTCAATAAATTTTGCTTCGCTTCGTGTCAATAGGCTGTTCTTGGTGCTGATGCTCGAGCAGTTGTGGTAGGGGAGCAGGCTGATGATTCCGATGAAGCCCTATAGATCCTCAACCCCAACTCCGAAGCCCCAAGTCTCTAAGTTCCAGATCGTCGTGAAAAAACTGCGTGAACTCCCCAACTCGAAGCCCTCCGCAGCTCTCCCCATTTCCCAGATCCCAGGAAGTTGCTCTGGGGCTTCTCGACCAGATGCACGAGGCTGCGGGCGTTTTGCAGTGACTGATGCAGCAGAGCAACAATGGCGGTCATGGGTTCAGTCACCGCAACCATGACAGCCGCAGTGTAGAAAGCCTTCAACACGCAAGAGCCCTTTCATGACAGCGCGGGTATTGCTTGTCTCTTAGAGTCTGCCCGAACGACTAGGCGCCAGTAGCTACTTCTAGCTGTACTGGTAACCGTTTTGTACACCATATCTGTAAGTTCGACTCCGCAACTTCGGCAGCGTAAGCTTTAGTGACGGCAACCTAACCTTCCAGCGGTTTCGGACCTGGCTCGGTCGTGCTTTGGTGTCATGAGGGCATATGAGACGTTCAGCATTTTCCCTGACTCTGCCAAGCAATCTGTCAGTGGCTGTGCCAGCATTGCGCTTCAGTCCAAGCCACACCGACTGCTTGGCATGGAGGCCAGATGCCTTCCAGACGTAGTGAGCTACAGTGCCGCCATCAGCGCCATGGAGAAAGGCGCATTTCAGCCGTTTCGGGCAGGGCTCCGGGTCTTGGTATTTAGGTTCCGGACGAGCGGTATTCCTTGCTTTGAAGATGGCTTTCTTTACCACGGCCACGGACCAGTTTCGAGCAGTAGCAGCCACGAGACCACGCCTTCAAATCGAGTACCTGAGCCTGCCTCAGCGCATCATAAGCCTAGAGGCAAGCCCAGCTCTTTTGTTCGTCCTTGACAAGCGCTGGAGTTTTCGGAAGTCCCTCTTCGGATTTCGGGATTCAAACACTCAAGGTGTGCGGCCTTAGCCCCGAAAACCATGGACGCATGCGTTTCCTGGGTTGTCCGGCTTAGATCCATCCTCGCAGGCTTCCAGTGGACCCGGGCCGTGGTTTTGCTCCAGGAGCCGGCACCTCAGGAGGCAAAGAGCCATTCAGCCATTCGAAGCAGATCGACCGCAGTTTGAACCCGTCGTCTCAATTCGAGGGTTCCAACTTTGCGCGGGGTTTCGCGTGCTGAAGGTGCATTGGGTTCGAGTTCATAGTTGCTCCCAGCCCCGACCGAGGATGAGCCAGGTGGCGTGTTTGCCAGACGAACCCTGGCAGCAAATTTCAAGGCAGTGGCAGTTCCGAATCACGGTGTCGTGAGGAAACCCTGTTGGCAGTGAGCTTTGACTAAGAAGGACAGCCTGCCTTCGGTTGGACTCTGAAACGGAAAGCCCAGTCCCCCAATGCATCGCACCTCACTTCGCAGTGCAAACTACCTGTGCCACCCAGATGTTACTGGGCACATCTGGTTCTGGCATAACATACAAGCGAGCTCACCCAAACATCACACAAGCGCCGCAGTAAGCCTTGGGCCCCGGCCTTATGGCTGGTTGAAGCTCTTGCAAGAAACCGAAGTCCTTTGCGTCGGCTTCGGCGTGCAGAACCGACGCAGAAAGCGTACCTTGGTTCCGGATTCTGGACATCTGTAAATGGCAATACAAGAATTTCGCCGCCGGAGCCATCCTTGCCAGCTAGACTGTATAGAGGATCTTACAACCTTTTAGGGTCCCTGCCAGGATAATTAATCTTGAAGACTGTACGACTGCAGGTGATATGCTTCAACGCAGCGCTGGGTGCTTGTGAAAGCTGCGGAGCTTGGGAGGAGGCGTGGGAGTGGTTCCCTTGCGCCACCCCCGGCAAAGTAAACAACCCCATGGTTTTGCCTTGGTGTCCCCCTGCAGAGCCAGTGGAGCCTCAACCAGGTTAAAGTGTCGAGCAGAATAGGTGCAGATTGTTTTCTTGTTTCTTCTGTTTCTTGTATCGAGGGAGAGAGAGAGAGAGAGAGAGAGAGACCTAACCCGAGGAAACAATCCCTCAGCCGCCACTCCCCGTCAATCCTTTGCGATCGGTCTTTGCACCTCGAACGTGTTCTGGAACCGTGGCCAACACTGAAACTTCTAAAACCTGCGGAACCTTGCAGGGATCTTTGGAAGCAGTATGTACACCTTGACAAGGTTGGCTCGGATTTCGAAATCCGACCGAGGCGAGCGTTGACCAAGGTATCCAACTTCCGAACATCTTCCGCACTTATATATCAAGTGTATCACAAGCGTCTCTGCGACCCAAGCATGGGAGGCAATGACACTGTGGTCCGGCCTCCTGTCCTCCTCGCTGCAGCCGGATGCCCGGGCCTTGCGCTGCCGGAGAGGTTGAGAGAAAAGGATTTCGAAGAGCAGCCGAGCAGCCTTTCAGGCATGCCGGCCAATGCTGGCAATGGCCAGAAGAAGCCACAGCTATGGAGACTAGCTGACTAGGAGTGACATCAGCCGGTAGGGCCATCTTCGTTGTCCTCGTTCCTGCCACTGTCACGATGTCGGGTCGAGCACAATGCAGTTGCTTCTTCTATTGCCAAGCGAATCTCCCACATATTCTGCTGCCATCTGGAAGACGTTGTTGATTCTGCCCCACGACCACGACTACTGTCAACTGATGCCGCCTACAACTGCTACTAGTCAGTTACTAGTCCCTTCCGTCTATTCCTAAAAAGCCCTCATCCCCTTATCCGAAATATGACTTTCAGTGGAAAATATTTGATCTAAGGTGTGGCGGCTTTCAATCTTCCCATTACTCTGCGCTGACTCATTGCTTTATTCTAAACCCTTCCGTGGGCAGGCCGCAGACCCTGCACCCCTAAGTTCCTTGCACCCTGCAGTTCCCGGGCAGTGCCTGCAGTCCTCCGTTCCTTCCCGCACTACCACTATTGCTACCCCCACTGCACTACCACCACCGCCAACTACCACCACCACCACTACGCTACCACTACCACTACCACTACTACACCACCACGCCGACCACTCACACCCCTTCCCGCATCGTGTGATCACACAGCAGATGGCAGCACCACAACACATCGTGTCAGAGCCCAAACCCTACAGAAGCCCCAACATGTCAATGCTACACCCTTATACCCAAAAGCCCCCAACCTCATTCCCCTCTAGAACTTCTAGAACCTACATACAGATTCGGGCTCCTTTATGCCTCAACCTGAAGTCTAAAGAGGTCGTGACAATTGGAGCCCTCCTGGGGGCGTGTGGCAAGGCCTCGTGAGCGATCCAGTCTCGACAGTTGCAGTTCATCACTTGGCTTGGGGTGTGGGCTACCGTTGACTGCATGTCCTGCGGGATCCCTTTCGCTAATCTTGTTTCTTCCGTCTCCAGCTCTGCAGCAGAATCGCCCCCCCCCCCCCCCCCATGGTGAAGCCCCAACTAGACGTTTGCACATGACATCTATCATGTCCTGTCCTCCTTTTGTTCAGCACGGGTGCAAACATAACCTCTTTTAATCGCAGGTTTGCAGTAAGCTTGCATCGAAAAGGATGGCATTTTTGACCAATCCAAGCAACACGTGGAACACGGCAACTTCCAGAAGACTGAAGTGCTGCATTGGCTGCTTCACATCTCCCCGTGGACATTTGGACCTTCCGGACCGGGCCCATATTGAGTTCCATCGGTCTGCACAGTGCTTTATACAGGTTGCCAAGCACGTAGTCAATGCCTTCCTGTCATATTCGTACACAGAGAGTTTATACTGTAGGCATCCAGTGTTCCGCCCACGTTTCAACACCCTGCAACTCAAATTCTCCAGGCCCACCTCTGGCAGCTGTCACTGGAATGGTTGTGGGACATCGGTTCGAGGCATAGTTCCTGCGACCATGAACCTCATCTGGCAATGTGTGCGTGGGCGGGCGAGGCTCTGCAATGTAGAGTTCACAGACTCATCACCAGAAGCCGAATGGGCTCGCAACAGAGAGCGTGCCGTGTCCGACTTTCGGGCCACAAGGCATGCCATGCAGCGGGAATTCTTTGGACTCCATGACAGGCAGTTGATGCCCGACATCATTACCTACAACGCAGCTGCTACAGCATGCCACGGAGCCAGCGCCTGGCGGCAGATTGCGTCCGGACCCTGGGTGTTCGGGGTTTCTTGAAGGCGTCCAGGCCTCATGGTTTCGAGCTTTAGCGTTGGAGTCTATCAAATGATCTTCCTTCAGGAAGCCAGCGCTGCAATGAGACTTCTTTGTTCGGATCTGTGAGCTTTCTGGAATAGTATGGGGATCTTGGATGGTGCCATCAGAGACAGGGGTGAAATAGGGCCGTAGGGCCGTAGGGTATACCTACAACAAGGATCCATGAGGCTTTAAGTTAGGGCGTACTACAACAAGCCCCTACGATGGAGGGTCTATATTGGGATTCCTGATCTTCTGACCGCCCCACTTGCTTCAAATCTGAGGCTTGGGAAGTAATCTTTGAAACTCACTGTCACCGACTTCCATTTCTGGAGAACCATGAAGCTTCCTCTCGCTAGGCTTTTGTTGGAATCCATGGCGACGAGGTGGGACGGGCGCTTTTGAAATCAAGAAAGCTTCGGCTTCAGGAGTTTGGGCCCAGGAATCAATGGCTCTTTTTTTCGGGTCGAGCCTTCGAAATTGCTGAGGTGGCCGGCGGCCCGTTTCCTGGGCTTGTGGACATGTTGAGTTCATGCCTGCGCCCGGCCCGAAGCCCTGAAGCTTTTCCCTTGCATTTAGACCTCTTGTGGTCCTAAGCTGACATGGCTAGTGTCAAGCACAGCCTTAATGGCGAATCCTCCCGTCGGAAGCATGTCAGTACGGATTCAAAAATACTGTGAGCGCTGACCTCTGTCAACCATACCTCCGTTTCGCAAGCAGTGGGTTCGTTCATCTTTAATGGATCATAAGGGCAAACTGAAAAGAATTCGAGCGTTGATAACCGCACGGGTGAGAATACCAGGATATCCGACCCCAGCAACACTTGACTAAGAAATGTGTCAGGGATTGTCCGGCGAACATCTTGACTCTCGATGTCGCTGCATCTGCTGCAGACGCCGGGTGGGCTTTCGGTGCCTTGTCAACAGGCTCTGCTTGATGACGTGACGGGTAGGGGCAAATGCATGGCAACACGATGTTATGTGTTGCAATAGCCGCTGCACGTGAGTACCGCATTTGATGGCATTGAATGTGGCGTAGCAGGTGGGGAAGTGGTGATGACGGTCGTTGTAGCCGTGTCAAACATGTTGCCACGGAGCACTGCGGCCTAGCTTCGAATGTTTCGCGAAGTGATGAGAGTGATGGAATTCTGAGCTTGTGCGGAGTCTAGGTAATTAGGGCTCCAGCTTTGATTCTCTACTACGGATACACGAGATGGTTATGCGTATCATGTTCAGCAGCTTGCAGGGTTTGCATGCGAGTTTATTTCAATTCTTTGACCGTTTCCGGATCTTGAGTCGGGCGCGCTGTCTGAAAGCAGACTTGCGCAAAGACATTAAGGTGAGCGCTTGCCTGGTTAAAACGCCCATACCTACCGCAAAGAAATGGTTTCTAGACCGAGCTGCCACGTAGTCGAACCATCGCAGCTTGTCTGGAGCAGAGGACTTATAGGACGTGGAGGACATGGCAGGTTTGGCTTTGGCGACTACATGAACTTTCGAGACACTCAGGAATCCGCTAAATCCTTGTCCTGGCCCCCGCATCGTCGCGCGCAGCGCCTGTCACCATTTTCACACTGCGGATCCTTGAACCCTGAAGTTCGTGAAACGCCAGCCAGAGGCTGCAACAAAACAGTTCGCAATCCAGTACGGCGTAATCTAGCACGCCAGATTAAACAGCTGCATTCAGAGCCATAATGTAGTAACCCATTATTTGTACTCATCACGTAGAAATTAAATGAAATTAACGCACTACTAGTGTTTGGTTGAAACTCCCGATAGTAGGATAACTGAGGTCCCTTGCGCGAACTCCTGCACAGCGCCGCCGACGGTGCCCTGCGCGGCCTGTGTTCTGTGCGGCTTCGGCAGGAATCGAGGCCTTTGGCCAGAAATGCTCAGGCCTAAACAAATTGCTGTGGACAAATCACGCGGGGCCCAAGGAACTCCTTCGTGCGAGGACTCTTTCTTGGGGCGTCTGTTCTCCTAGCCTCGTGTCTCACGAGAGAAGTTATGCGACTGGCCAAACCTTGCTGCCAGGCACAAGACAGAACGTTTGTGCGTCCTCAGCAACATCGCAAAGCCGAAGCTTCCCATTGCGACTTCAGCGGACCTGAAGACATGGCAACTCGCGACCGCGACTGACCCCGTGACGGCTCCTTTACACGAGATGCAGACGAGAGCGTATACGACTGAGAACAGAGTCCGCTCCGCTACAGAGACACGAGCGGAGGAAACCTCGGCGAGCTGCTGTCCAAGAGCACCAAAGAGCTTCTGGAAGATACTGGGGTAATCGAAGCGCGAGGGAGGCATGGACGTCTGCCACGACATCTCGACGAAGGGCTGCATGATGTTCGGGGCCAGGGCCTAACGGAACCACCCACAACTGGTACTGCAGACAAGGTGCCGCTTTTGCCATGTTACCGATCTTCGCGGGTTCGTTGCCGGCAGCGAGCAATAGAGCAAGTTGCTGTGTGCAGAGCAAGAAGCTTGTTTGGAAATTGCATATGTTGTCTCTGTACTCTAGGTGTGCTCTGGGTGTCTCTCCTTGCAAGCATGTTCCTCATCACTAAAGGCATGCTTGACAGCTTCTCGAGTTTGAGCTTGCTTTTCATAGCTGACGCGCTCCCGAGTACGGAGTGCCGATTTGCCGACTGAGCGTGTTACGTTGCGTGGAGGAAGCGTGGAAAAGAAGCACGCAGCATGCCCACAGTGCATTTTCCTGCCCGAAGCCCAAACCTGAGTCCCTAAAGTCGAACCGAACCAACCACGTGAAGAAACGTGTTCAAAAGTAGAGGTTTTGAGGAGCGCAAATGAGGGCTCGCAAGGAGTATCTCGGTGGGGCTAAAGAAGTCAGAGGGCTGGGTAAGGAGTACTGGTGCAGCATCAGCCCTCTCGAAGATTTGCTTCAAAAGGGAATGCGTTACTGTGTGCATGTGTCTAAACATAGGCAGATATCGGCGTTCGTACATGCAAGTATGTACCTCCACATGTTCAAAACTCTCGTGTTCGTGCACAGCTTGTCAGTTATGCAGACAGCCCCTCGATTTGGGGGCTTGCCGGCTCGCTGTGCGTAGTTCAGTTGTCTGGTTGTTGTTCAATGTAAACTTCTTCCTGACACAGCGGCCTGATGTCGGAGTGAGAAGAAAGATATGCTAAGTTGCGGAGTATGGCTCTGAAACCACAAACTGCCACCGACATCCCCGACGTCAGTCTTGGTCTATAACCTGAAGCGATTGCTTGTGACGCATAGGTACGTGCCCTGTCTTCGATCTGAGTACCGACTGCAAACCGAGATACCTCACCTGGCGAGTCCGAGTTGTGCCAGTGTCCGAGATACCTTAATCCTCGACTCCAAACCGCAGGAAAGCCCCAACCCAAACTAGCGACATCAGAGTCCCTTGGTGGTGTTGCCATGGAGGTTTCAGACTGTACGGCTCACTGTAAGGTTTGTAGGTTCTGAAGCCGGTCTTTATCTCCCCTTCCGCCGAGGCGCGACCTTGACTACCTCTCCACATCCAACGTCCTCATCCTGGGGGGTGGGGGCGGCTTTTCCGCCGCGGCTGGAGCTCTGCAGGATTCGGCGGTTGATGGTACAACTAGGGGGATAGATAGAGCATAGAGGGACGTCTGCCTCTTCGCCAGGGTTACGGAACTTAAAGCGCATAAAGTTGCGACTAGCCGCTTACAAAACTCTCGGTGTGCATGCTGGAGTCCGACTTGACTGGGAGGCAATGCAAAGTTGTCAAGCCTCAGACCTGTGCTCAGCAGATCCCTGGAATTTGGAGCCTTGTCAGGCCGAAGGAGGCGTCATCCTCCATGCCCGGACACCCGACCTCGCGCTGGACGGCCTCCCCCACGCGCATGCCCTGGAGGTGCGGTTCAATCTTCCGAATCTCCCTGCCTATACCAAAAAACACATCTCAAACGAGCCCGAGCCTCAGCGTCGCTGCGGAGGACTTCGGCAACTTCCGTTGTGCCTACGACCTGGCACCCTTGGCCCGGACCGTGCTCGGGGATTGGCCGAAGCTGCTCGGCTCATGATCTGCAGCATACGATTATGACATTTATGATTATAATTGCTCGTAATGCTCTGTATATTTTGACAAGGTTAGTCCTTTGAACTGGTGTGAATCCCTGACCAGAGGGGGCAAGCCACCTGAAGCTGGCTTCGTGAATCCCATCACAGTCGTCCAGCACACGAACTCCGGACATAGCGATTTCCTAACCACAAAGCTTACGGTGATGGCCCAGTGACCGCAACATACTTTGTTTCATCGTCCGGGCACTTTGCAGCGCCGAAGGAGTAGAGCTAGGTCAGGAACATGACCGGAGACCTGTGCAGGCTGCCTTGCATCCGGGTCTCTTGATGGAAGTCGGTTTCGAGTGTCCAGGAATATCCGGCACTTGCAGCAGGTTTTTGACAGCGCTTTAAGCGCCCTAAAACCCCAAATCAACAAGAAAGGAAGGACCAGGTTCGAAGTACGGCTTAGCTCCCATAGCCCTTATGACTGGAGCAGCCCAGCACCACACCTTCTGACTTTTCAGCCCTGTGCCGTATGCCTGTTCTTCTTGTTCACTTGCTTGCTGTTACGGCCGTTTCCTGATTGTTGCTGTAGGCGATCAGCTCCGACAAAGGAGGCGGAGGAGATGTCAGCCAAGGCCCGTTTGCGGTCTGGGCTGGGGCCTTGAGGGTTTGGGTGCGGAATTGCGGACCCGACCCGTCCAGCCAACACGCAAAATCGACCGCCCCCACAGCGGCAACAAGCTATCTTTACTCCATGACTGAACCGACAACCCTACCACTGCCGTGGTGTCTCCAGAGGATTATAACCCTCAAGCCTAGAGCGCCGCAAATCGGCGGGCAAGCTGCGTAACTTCAGGAATCCGAGGACATGGTTTCAAAGCCGTAGCTCAACACGTGAGACGTCTCTTCCCGGAAGCAGGTTGAGCTAAGCTTCGCGGAGTACAAGGCGCGATGTCTAGCTGGACGGGCAGCGTTAAATAGGATTTTTCACAGATCTGTGTCAGCACATGGGCTTTCCTGTTCGCCACGCCTGCAACTGTTCAGATTTTGTGTGGCTTTGGGGTGTGTGTGGTACAAGGCCGACGTGCAGTTGGCAGCAAGCTTTGTTCTTCGAGCAGGGCAGTGTTAAATTACTGTTAGATTGCATTGGGGCACCCTTCCAGCTATCATGAAGCATGCCACCCTTGATGAAGGAGTGGTATATGTCCTCCGTCTCCTCCTCTTTCGATTTCGACTGGGTAGTGCCTGGACATGCAAGATCGTTCAAAGGCAGCGGAATGGGGTTTAGGGTTGCGTGGCATGGACCTTTAGGGTCTATTTGGCAACTGGGCTTTGTATTTAAACTGCAACAACACCACGGCGACAAGGACGACGACGACTCGGTTTAGCACGACGACGACTGGGTTCAACACGGCGACGACAAGGTCTGGCACGACGGTTACATCGGGAGGCCGAAGCGTGTACAGTGTAAAGGTCTCGACAGGAGTTTAAGGGTCTAGGGTCTTAGCTCCTAACTATGGTTTACCGGGGTCAGTATACTATGGAAGATCTAAGGTTTGGAGTTTATGAGGATTTAGATGGTTTTACGCTCTCACAAGTTCTCCGTGCTGGTTTTAGGGTCTATCACAGTCTATCACAATGTCCTCCCGTCCCTCTCGCGCCGGGAACCATCAAGAATCTGTCTTGTGTATTTCTCGTCCTGTGTCTTTCTCTCATTCCCGTTCCTCTTCCTGCCTATCCACTCTGCCGTTTGTCAAGAAGACACAGAAATTGAAGTCATGACAGAGGAATAGGCATGAAGATGGACGAAGTGAACTCTTCATTCTCTCGTCTCTCCCTTCTCTCCTTCCTTTGATTGATCCTTTTTCTGTTTCTTTTCTTGTCGCCTTCTGCTGTCAATGACAGGGGTAACACGAGGGAGGGGCAAAGGGACGACGTCAGTTCCTCTCGACGTGGTTCGTTTTTTTCATTTCCTCTCGCGTTGTCTCTCTTCCGCCTCTCTCTCTCTCTCTCTCTCTCTTTTTCTCGCTCTGTCTTCCTCTCTGCCGTGTCTCGCTCTCTCATCTCTTCTGTCCCCTCTTTCCTTGCTCCCTTGCTGGAAGGAATAGAAAACAGAAGCGAAGACATAAGATGGAGGAAGATGGTTGGGAGAAGGAAGGTGGATTCCTCCCTCACTCGGCTCTTTGACTTTCTTTGCCCTTGCCTTCTTTTCTCTGCTCCTATCCTTCTTCTCAATTAGAAGGAGAAGCGACAAGAACGGAGAGCTCAGGGAGAGCAAGTAACACTGTTCCTCATAATCCCCTCCTTCCTCGTGTTCATTGCGTTGTCCATCTCCCCCTCGCTCTCTCTCTCTCTCTCTCTCTCTCTCTCTCTCTTGCTCTCTCTCGCTCTCGCTCTCGCTCTCTCTCTCTCTCTCTCTCTCTCTCTTGCTCTCTCTCGCTCTCGCTCTCGCTCTCTCTCTCTCTCTCTCTCTCCCTCCATCCTTTCCTCTCTACTTCTGCACATTTACTTTTCCACTTCTCTCGCCCACTACATTATGCTTGCTTTGATACTTATCTTCAACTTTCTCTCACTCTCTTTGTCCCATCGCTTGCCCTGTTCCTTCTCCTCCTCGCTTCCCTGCCTCCCGTCCGTCTCCCCTTATCACTCAGAAGGAAGAAGGAAGACTCACAAGGAGAAAGACAAGGGAGTAAGAAAACAGACAAAAGAAACGGAGAGAGAGCCATAAGGGACGAAATACAGAAACAACGAGAGAAAACAAGGGGGAAAGATAATCAAAAAGAGAGACAGAAAGAGGAGGCGATGCATAAAGCAGCCGACAGTGCCTTGACCTCCACGTCTATTCATTCTTTGTTCTTGTCCTATCACACTGTCTCATTGGTGATAAACCAGGAAGAGCTTGTGGAGGGAGACGCGGAAGAAGTGTTCTCCTCTTCACTCACCTTGTGCCCTTCCTCTCCCACCGCTCGCCCGCTCTCCTTTCTTTGATTTTCTTGTCTGGCGGAAAAGTGGGAACCAGGAAGGAAAGTGGACAAGGGAAAGGACGAGATTGAGAAATGACAGAAAGAAGAGAGATACAGAGAGAGCGAGGGAGAGCTTCAAGCCCAGCAGAGGAAGAAGAGAGAGGAAGATAAGAGAAGGGGGCAAGGGGTGGCCAGAAGAAGCGTAAGCCAAAGCTACGTATTGAAAGGGCGGAAGCCCCATTCTCCTCTTCTTCCTCTTTGCTCTCTTATTTTTCTCTTAGCGCAGGGCATGCATGGAGCTAG